AGGATTGCCGCGGTCGTGAGCCGTTTTGACGCCCGCGACCTCGGCCCCGATTTCCACCGCCACGGCCTTGTCCTCGTCCATAGCCTCCACGCTGACCGGAGTTGCCTTCCCCATAGCCTATGCTGCCATGCTGTCCGCCATAGCCGCCGGGAGTACCGCCGTGAGGGTTGCCACCAGTTCGGGTCGTGAGGAGCGCCGTGGTGCTCGAGTCGGAGAGACTCGTCCGTTGTCGATCCAGCAACATGAGGGCAGATCGGACCTGCAGGAACGTGGGCATGGGATCCTGGAATTGCATGAAAGAGGTTTGTGCTTGAAGATCTGCAGGAAGACCACGAAGCATCTGAAGAACAAGTTGGTGCTGGGAGACTGGTGCATCAACATCATCCAACCAGTCGGCAAGATTCTGCAGTTGTTGGCAATATGCTGCCATGGTTGAGTTGCCCTTAAATGTCGTGCGAAATTCATGCTCTAATTGCATGGCTCGGGCATGTTTGTTGTCGTGGAACAAGTCGTGGATGACTTTCCAGAGAGCAGAGGCAGTAGAAACAGAGGAGATGACCAGATCTGATACCTCATCAGTGATGGTGGAGAGGATCCAACCCTGGAGAAGAGCGTCGAGTTGGAACCATTCGTCGTCGTCTTTGGAGGAGGGGACAACAGAGCCATCGATGTAGCCCTTGAGGTTGAACCGCCGAACCAGAAGAAGGAAGAGTCGGCTCTACTTTTTGTAATTAGGTTGGGAGAGACTGAGTTGAACGGGGACATGAAGTTTCACATTTGAGATTGTTGTGAAAGCAAGATGAGGAGGTTTGGGGGAGGTATTTTGGGAAGTGACCTCGCTGTTTTCGGCCATGGTGAGGGGGAGAAGAGGACTGCCGAAGAGGAGGGGCTGTCGCCGGAGAGCTGCCGAGGGAGGGACGGCGCTGCTGAGAGTGGCGGCGAGAGAGAGAGGGCCGAACGAGAAAGAGAAAGAGGAGGTTTAGGGTTTTTTATTTTTAGGCTCTGATACCATGAAGAAAGGTTAATTTCATTGATTGAATATGTGGGAGTACATGTCTATATATATATATACAAGGAGTCCTAATCCTATACAAGGTAGGAGACAATAATAGGAAACAATATATTCCTAATCCTATACAAGGTAGGAGACAATAATAGGAAATAATATGTTTACATTAAATATAAAATATATTTTACATGTTTGATGTAAATCTGTAAATAATATTTCAAATATATTCTACATTACTTTCTCCGTCCCAAATTAAACTTCTTATTTGCTTTTTCATTGAGTTTAAGAAAAATTGAAATTGTGTGGTTGAGATTTATGCATAGGAGAGAGAAATAAAGTGAGATTTATGCTTATTTAAAAGGAATGTGAAGTTTATTTGTGATGACCCAAAATGGAAAGTGGGAAATTTATGATGGGACGGAAATAGTTTCTTATAGATGTCAAGCCAGATTCAGTTGAAGCACAAAAATTGTTTTTTCATTGGGATATCCTTGTAGATTGATACAATAACAACAACTAGGTCCTAATTTCAAATCAATAGGATTGACCACAACAACAACCCTATAGAATCCCACAAGTGTAGGGTTTGCTGAAGGTGTGTGTACGTGGACCTTACCCCTACTTAAAAGTAGAGACGCTGTTTCCAAGAGACTGGCCACATAACCAAAATATAATCTTCCGAGTCCCGATATCATCCACCAATATCTTTATTTTCCATTCTGTTGTCAAGCGCCATGTGCTAATTAATCCTTGTAAATTAGTGTCATTTTAAAGTTACTTTACATAATATGCTGTCAAGTTCTTTTCTTTTGTAAGTTTGCCACCTTATTATTTATTGACGTATTTAATTTTTTCTCTGCGGTTAAGTGATATTTGACTCTTTATTCAGATATGGAAGACCTCAAAGACTTTTGTAAAAGTCAAGGTGCTCTAGAAGCTAAAGATTTGAACCATTGGGATATTGGTTTTTGGAGTGAGAGGCTTCGTGAATCCAAGTATGAATTAAATGAGGTCTGATCTTCTTCTCTATTTATATGATTTAAAACGTGACTTATTCTTTTTAAACAAATACTGATGTTCACATCCACTTCTTTTCCCTTCACATAAACGAAATGGAAAACGAAAAAAAGGAGTTGGACATGAGTGAGAAAAGCTAAATTAGTTACATTGAATCCAATGTGGTAGTCTTTCATTCTAATGCAATGGTAAAGGATGAACTTTGACAAGTCAAAACTCACAAGAGAACATTTTTTTAAAAGTAGGGGAGCTAATTTTTTGCCATTGTGATTCTGAAGTAGTTTTATTGTGCTTTGCTTTAATAAGATTATGTGATACGGCGGGTGATGCCATAAATGCATGCCGTAAGTGCAAAACACAATTCTAAAATATATTAAGTAGGAGATCTTTTGCAACACTAGTGTAACAACACTCCCACTTTCAAGCTCACATGTTATCAAAATATAATTACAAGAAACTGAAAGTGTTTGGAAAGTCTGGCAAAAAAAAACTAATAAATGCATGTATTCCTTGGTCATTTCCAAAGAGAGTGCTAAAATTAAAAACATCACTCTATTAGGGGAGTCAAGCATGGAAATTACTTGTTAAATAAATTCCAATTATTATTGTAAATGAACACAGAATATGTAATGTACTAATTTGAAAAAGTGAAAATGACCAATACATTAGATCTGAATTATTTGAAGAGGTGAATAATTAACTCTCATAGTCAAGAGCCTTTTAAAATTCCACAACCATATCCTATTTCTAGGCTTTGTGTTGTGTGGTTGTGTTGTTGGGTAAATTAATTATCAACTCATAGACAAGAAAAGTATTAGTTTCCCTAATATTCAAAGGTGAGTTCATCATGCTCACAATTCAGTCCATTCAAAGGTGGCATGACCATATTATATTATGAAATGAGTAGTGAATTTAATCAAACAACGTAAATAAAGTTTGACCGTGTGAATAGTGTACGGGAAGAACCAACTTGGATGGAGGGAGTAAGAGAAAAGAGTCAAAAGACCCAAGATTTCCCCCTAATCTCAAGAACACGCCATGAACCACCATAATCCCCAAATCCGAACCCTTGGTGAGAAATTAGCCTAGCGTGTTTGTGGAATCAACAATAACAATGAGCAACTGACAAATGATATTTACTAACAAGAATTTAACAAGCAATCCCGAATTTAAGAAGTAAGATTAAATGTTGAACAATAATGTCAAACACGCTCTAAATCTCAAGAAAAATGAAGAACATGGGTAAAATAAAGTTCTAGAATAGTAGAATCTAAAATATAAATACCTTAAATCTTGAATCTTGACGAAAATAGAGAGTGGAAATCTCTGTTAGGAAGTTTGGTTCGTGCGCTGCTGTTCGACCATTGTAAGAAAATAGAGAGTGGAAATCTCTGTTAGGCATCACTTTTATAGAAGGAGAGGATTCAAGAGGATGCTGGCAGAAGACGACCGCTCCTCATGTTTTTTTTTCATTCTGCAAAGATGGTCAGAATATGCCTGGAAGACGACCGTCTTGCAACCACCGTCTTCTGCACTACCCATTTTTGTGATTTTATACTTTCACTCAAAATGGAGGACAATCATTTGCAAGATGGAGGATGGCCGTTCTCTATTCACTGTCTTCTATCCTGAAGCTTTCTCCGGCTTTTCTAAATTGCGCTCAGAACATATGATGGGCAGCGTTCACCATGGAAGACGGCCGTTTTCCTGATACTTCTTAGCTCCTTCAGTACTTAATAAAACATTGGGTGTTCTCTTAATGGTTCAGCTAGTTCATTGGATGGTCATCTAATGTACCAAAGATGGCTGTTTTTGGGACACCATCTTCAGATCTGTCCTCTGTTTGCTCCTTGTTCAGCTTGACAAGTGTTTGTTTCTTCCAATAGTCAATCCTTGCTCTTTCGAGTAATCAAAAGGCTCTTAAAAAGCCAAGATCCAAGAATCCTCATTTTAATTTCCCAAGTGACTTTTACTGTAGTGAATGCCTAAGGACCCAAAAACTGCCGAAAGGCACTGGTAAAAGCCTAGGTTCACGTCTACCCATAAAAACTAGCAAGAACACTTAAGATAAAAAGCTGAAGGAATGGATCATGTCTTTCACTGTCCCACTTGACCATTACTCCTGTTGAAATGTCAGTGCTTGGAGCGGTGGGAGTGGTGCAAGTGCATTTGTGCAACTGCTCCCAATCGGAGAGTATGCAAACTCTTCGTTGAATAATTTAAACCTTTGTGGCTTTTTTTTTTGGTGTAAAAAACTTGATCAACTACTTCAACTTTATGTGAACTAGATCCGCTTATGTCTAGTACTAACCAGTAATTGTGGAAGCTTTCTATGTACTAAAATAAGTGTGAAAGTTTGTGGATTTGCATCTAAGCTTGACAAATATATTGTATGCCGTTTATGCTCTTTCTTTGATGCGGTGCACTTTTTTCCCTTCAAATTTTACTGTATATGCTGCTTTGAAGTAACTAACCATTAATAAATTTTATAGGAAGAATTGCGCCCATATTTTCCACTACCAAGGGTCATGGATGGTCTTTTTAAGCTTGCAAATAAGCTTTTTGGTATATATGCTGAACCTGCTGATGGTTTAGCTCAGGTAAAAATTTCAGTTGCCTGTCAAACATAAATTTAAGAAGTGCGAGTGATATCTTTACTAATAACAATGCTATTAATTAGGTATGGGACAAGGATGTCCGCTTCTACCGTGTGAATGATTCCTCAGGCAGTCCCATAGCATATTTTTACTTTGATCCATACTCACGTCCATCTGAAAAGCGTGATGGTGCATGGATGGATGAAGTTGTTGGTCGAAGCCGTGTATTGTCTGTAGATGGTGCTTCTGTAAGGTTGCCTGTTGCCCATATGGTTTGCAATCAAATGCCACCTGTGGGAGAAAAACCCAGCCTGATGACATTCCGTGAAGTAAGCATGCACTTGATCATTATGCTACCCACAAAAATAAGAGTGAACATACTGGTAGGGACATATAACAGAATATAACTATATAAGACACCCTCTAAAGGTGAAGTGGCAAGGGACACTAGATGCTGGCATGCTGGGGCTTTCTTACCATGCAGAGGAATGTATTATTATGCATTTCTGTGTTTAGGACTGTATAGAGAACACATGTTAAAAAAGTACAGACGAGCTGGGCTAGACCCATACTAATTTGGGAAACACTTCGAGCTAGGTTTTTGATACATATTCAGTCTATTTTGGAATCTATTCTATGAATTGTTATTCTTTTTTGGATTTTATGTAGGTTGATACAGTCTTCCATGAGTTTGGCCATGCCCTTCAGCACATGTTGACTAGGGAGAATGAAGGTATGGTTGCTGGTATTCGGGGCATAGAGTGGGATGCTGTAGAATTACCATCACAATTTATGGAAAATTGGTGTTATCACAGGTATTTGGAACTTTTATTGTCTCTATGTCTAACAAGTATGAAAACCCTGGTTAATTGCTATTGCTTAATATGCAGCAAAGCTATTTATTTTTTGGAATTATGTGCATTTGTTTTGCCTCTCTCTCTCTCTCTCTTTTGGGTTTGAACTTTATATCAACTAAATTCTTACCGTTGGTGTTGAAAAAGAAACTGATACTCTCTTCTTCCAACAAAGGTAGTCCACTATATTTTTGCACTCAATTAAGAAATAAAGAATGATACTAGTTAGTTAGAACAGTTAATCATATTTGTACATGTCATCATGCCATTGTAAATGTGGATGATTAAGTAGGGTTCAACTCGGAAATGAGAATTGAAATGCCACCTAAATACCTAATAAGAATACTGGACAATCTTTGTGGGATGGCCAAAAATGGAATAGTGGACTATCTTTGTGGGGGAGTGAGCATGTTTTGTACTTCTATGATTTATGGCAGTTTTTCATTTAAAGGAACCAAAACAGTGTATGTTAATAAAAGGCCAATGGCAAACCTACTTCAGAAGGGTAACACCGAACTACCCTTTATGTTGCAAACATTATTCAGAATCATATAAGCTGTGCGCCTGTGCAATAAAAATGCGCTTAGTGGTGTCTAGCGAAGTGTTTTGCTTACATCGAATTACTTCAATTGAATAAGGCATAACCCGTACCTTGCATGGTTGAACCTCACCCACACTTTTCACAACTATGACCACATGAATAGTTAAATCTTAAAAGAGATATTAATGGGAAAGGTGGGGTATATTTTTGCATAACTAATAACACTATCTAACCATAATTATTGATATTTTTCAATTTGATAATGAACTTTATCAATTAATAAGAAAGAAAATATATGTTATCGTTATTTTAAGCACACAGGATTTTTACTAAAAATGGGTTGACTAATATTTTTCCGATTAAGTATAACCTCCCTATTATTGTTAAATTTATTAATTATGAAAATAAAAATCATCCTATAAATAAGAAATGCACAGAAATAATTTTAAAACTTCACATATTTAAAACAAACTCCTGTTATATACTCCCTCCGTCCCAAATCTTCCGTCCCATATTGACTTGCACGGTTTTAATGTTAAATAAAAAGCGAGTTGATATTTCTCTTTTGCCCTTTCACGTACTGCCCTTCTCCTTCGTACCTAACCTTCCCATCCCCCATCACCACAAATATATCCATTCTTTTTCTTCATAATCAAAATCAGAAAAAAAAATATGCTTGATCCATTCTGACCAAACAAATACAAAATCCTCATTTCCAAAATCATGAAGGGCACACCAAATCTATCCACAGTATGAAGAAAGAACTTTATTTTTTATTGCCATCACCATCCTGGAAATATCAGATCTAAAGAGCTCTGACTTCATAAATCTTCAGATCTGGTCATTGTTATCTCTAGCTGGCGGCATAGTTATCAAGGCGTCGCCTAGGCGTCGCCTAGGCGACGCTTAGGCGTCTGGGCGAGGTATTGTGGACGCCCAATTGGTCGCCTAGCCTTTTCTTCCCTGGGCGACTGAGGCTTCAGTTTAGCGTCGGTTTGGCATCTATTTGGCGTCGATTTGAGATCTGAATAGCTAGGAAGATCGGAAATCCATAGGACATCTGTGATTTAGATCGTGAGGTAGTAAATCTATTGGATCGCGATCGACGGAGATCCTTTAGGTTTTCTCTAGCGTTCGTGAGTTCTCCAGATCTACGCTAGTATACGACCCTTCGGTTTTGACGGAAACCCTGAGGCTTTGACTAGCGACAGACTAGGCAAAGTGTTTCTTTTTTTTTTTAAAATTTTTCTGTGAGTGAAACATGCGGAATTTTTTAGACAGGCTTTGGCTGTGGATTTTTTTAAGGAAATCTACTTTATATTTTTTTAAAGTAATGTGTTATCTATTCTTGTTTTCTACAAAGTATCTACTAAGTAATGTATTTCGTACCTATAAAATTAATTATTTCATCGTATATACTTTAACATCAGCATCAATAAAATTATTAAGGTCGCCATAGCCCACTCGCCCAGCAGACGCCTAGGCGGGCGCCTAATCGCCTAGGCGATTGGAAGGTACTCTAGCGCCCAGCCTCGCCCAGCCGCCGTAACAACTATGGCTGGCGCCTGGCGGTAAACCAGAAGAAGAAGAAACGGGTAGGGGAGAGAAGAAGAAGAAAGAGAGAGGGGAGAGAGAAAAAGAAGAAACAGGGGAAGGGGTAAGAAGAAGAAGAAATGGAGACGGGGAGAAGAAGAAGAAGAAAAGGAAGAGCTAAGAATGAGAAGGGACGGTGGTGGGATGATGAAGAAGAAGAAAATAGAGCAAGAAGGAGAATAAGAAAGAAAAAAAGGGTAGATTGATCTTTTAGGTAAAATCTATTTGCCAAAGATTAGGGTCTGGGGAGGTCGGGAGTATGTGTGTACGCGAAACACCTTAGGATCCAAAAACATTAGCTTGAAATTCATTTAAAAGTGTAAAAAACATGATTGAAATGCAAAAAGAAACTGAAGGTAATGGGATCATCTTAATCGAACTAGCCATTAGTCTTTTTCTGCAAGGAATGTGTAATGTTATTTTCTCTATTTGCAAAGATGCTGATGATGACGTTTATGAGTGGCACAATAAATGTGAGTCACAAAGAATGACCTTTGCTATTGATTTATGAGTATGAGGCTGATTGGTCTTTACTTTGAACAGTTTGAAGTCTTTTATTCTTTTTGTCATTCTTCTTTGGAGTGAGTAAAAATGATAATGTTCTTTCGTCCTTGAAATTTCTAGGATGTCAATTTGTTTCCAGTATGCGTCATTTACTGATTATGCATGACATTATTTCTTGTCAATCACCTGTGTCTTGTTATGCGATAAGTGATAGATGTATATTATTTATTGTTACCATCAATTGTTCATAGTTTTCATATGGATCTATGCAGGGAGACCTTGATGAGCATTGCTAAGCATTATGAAACTGGTGAGTCTCTTCCCTAAGACATATACAAGAAACTCCTTGCTGCTAGGACTTTCCGTGCTGGATCCTTTAGTCTCCGTCAGGTTTGCGAGTTATCCCGCCTCCCCCCTCCCAGTCCTCCCTCCTCTTTCTCTCGCACACTGAAGTCAAAAGTCGATTTTCATGCTCTATAAATTATATACTCCCTCCATTCCATCATTAAGTTCCCATTTACTTTCACGGAGTTAAAAACACACGTGAAATTGTGTGGTTAGAGTATATGGAGAGAAATAGTGCGAAACACAAAAATTCATTTGTGAAAAGGAATAATAATTTTACTTTGGGACTTTAAATGAAATGAAAGTGAGAACTTACATATGGAAGAGAACTTTCCATAAAAGGGTGGTGTGAACTTATATATGGGACGGATGGAGGAAAGTGTAAAAGTGTCTGGAAATTAAATGTCTTCACATCATCATGGTTCTCAATGCTCCATATGTAATTAGCAAACAGAAACCAGAAATTCCTGGGTGAGCTTTAAATGACTGTCATCTCCGTGAGCTTTAAATGACTGTCATAGAGACATTTTATTATTTTTATTTCGCAGTTGAGATTTGCAACACTGGATCTGGAGTTGCATTCGAGATACACACCAGGTGGTTCAGAAACAATCTTTGATGTTGACCAACGGGTTTCTAAGAAGACTCAAGTGCTCCCCCCACTTCCTGATGATAAGTTCCTTTGTGGTTTCAGCCACATATTCAATGGTGGATATGCTGCTGGATACTACAGCTACAAGGTTCATTTGCTTACCGTTTTTTTGTGTGTTTCTTTTGTTTGCCATCTTACTTTTCCTTTATCGACTCATTCCACATCTTTTTTTTGTTTTGGTACAAGGGGAAAATCCTCCCCTCCCCCTGATCTTAAAGTTTTCTTCCGAGTTTGACTTGGCACACTTATTAACAAAGTGAAATTGTGTGGTTGTGATTTACTTAAAATGATAGAAAGAATGTCAGAAACAGATCTTTCCTTGACAAGAAATAAGAAGAAAATTTTAGGATGGTGGGAGTATCATTCTTGACATTGTTTTTTGTTACCACTTACCACTTCTTTCTTTAAGCCCATAATCTCTTTGTAATTAAATCTGTTTTATTATTTATTTTATTTGATGGACTCTTTGCACACATAAGTGTTCGGCTGTTTTGTTGTATTTTCTTTTATCAAATTATTACTCTTATTAGGTAACAAGTGTGCCACTACTCTTAAAAATTTGAGAATTCACATAAATTGTAAAATAGTCACTGATATTCAAGAAAAAATGGGGTTGGAACTTAATGTCTCCTACTTAAGGAGAGTAGAGGAATTTAGTTGTTTACTTTGCTTGTTTTCGTTTGTCCGGAAATAGTTGTCCACTTCCAATATTCATTAAAAAATGATGAATAATTGCGTAGAGATGGGGTTAAAACATTTAAATGAATGAGTGTCATCTTCATTTGAGGTGGTTTGGACATGTGAGACAACGGAGTGTTGTGTCCCCAATACGGAGATGTGAGAGGCTCATGGTGGTGGTGAGGGTAGCTAGGTGTAGAAAGGAAGATTTGGAAAGAGGTAATTAGACACGGCCTAAGACTTTTGATCCTTACCAAGGATATGTCCTTAGATAGAAACTTTTGGAGAGCTAGAATTAGGGCAGTTTGGTAGGCGTCTTGGATTGGGTGGTAGTTTCTCACTTTTGCTTTGTGTTTTCTACTTGCTATGCCTTTCTCTTATTGATACTAGTTGTCTTAGCTTTTTGTGCTTGTGTTTCCTCTGTTGTATGTGTCTTCTGTGAGTTTGCGCTATTTGTGTTACTTGAGCCAGGATCTCTTGGAAACAGTCTCTCTAGTTTTGGGTAGGAGTAAGGTCTGCATACAGATACCCTTCCCAGATCCTACGCTCGTGGGATTCGATTGGGTTGTTGTAAATCCAATTCTTAAAAATGAGATATTTTAGGAACTAGACAACTAAATCCCGACAAAGGGAGTATTCTTTTTATTGTTTCGTTTATTTTTATAGAAGACCGAATAATCAAGTGATAATAATGGTTATGCAGTGGGCAGAAGTTTTGTCTGCTGATGCTTTCTCTGCATTTGAAGATGTCGGCCTAGAAAACGAGATGGTAAAAATCAAACATTTCCTATTTTCTCCCCCCTGCTTTACAATTAAGTAAGCTCTTTTTGTGTTTGTCTCACTATATTCATGTTCACCATTGATTGTCAAACAGGCTGTCCAAGAAACAGGAAGAAGATTCCGGGAAACCGTGCTCGCTCGTGGAGGCGGGAAAGATCCACTGGAGGTAGAAATTAACACTATGTTTGGTTCAAAGAATTAGGAAGGAAAGGAAAAGAAAAAACTTGAGGAATTTGTTTTCCCTCTTCTTAGTTCATTCCCCCCCCCCCGCATTTCCTTCTCCTTCCACTTCTCTTTCCTTTTCCTCGTTAACCAAACAAGAAAAAGTGGTTTCCCTCTCATTTTCTTTTCTTTCCCCTTTCAAATCCTTTGAACCAAGCACAGTGTAGAAGTCTTTGCACTCGATTACCACATTCAGAAGTTGCACTCTTTCATGTCGTTTGAACGTTTTTTTTGCAGGTTTTTATTGAATTCCGAGGACGAGAACCTTCTCCAGAGCCCCTCCTAAGGCACAATGGCCTCTTACCAGCTGCTGCATAAGCTTCCCAAACATGCCCTTTATAGGCCCAACCCAGCCATGTACGGTTAGCTTCTTCAAACTCCTCAGAATCACACTTAAAACTTTTGCCAACTAGTTTAAGAGGATTACTAAACTGGCAGACTGACTGATCCGTTATTCCGTTATTTTTACCTCTTTTCCTCCGTAACTTGTATATACAGACAGTACAATTTTGCAGTTTCTGGGCTTCAGTTATTTCACTCTTTTTACAACACTTAAACTTAGGGATCGAAAGACTGCTCTATCACTACTACCAGTTTAAGACAGTTTCTTCTAAGCCCATATTGATGCGCTATTTACCCGATTCTGTACATCTGTCTTAGGGTCCGTTTGGTACACAGAATTGACGAAATTGAAATTGAATTGTAATTGAAATTCTATGGAATTGAATTTAATGGAATTGGGTTCTCCAATTCCATTTCCACGGCTTGAATTCCGTGTACCAAATGGAGCGTATTTAGTATTAACACTATTGCTATCTCACATTAATATACTCCCTCCGTCCATAAATTATCTTCCCACTTTCCTTTTTCGTCCGTCCACAAATTATCTTCCCATTTTCTTATTTGGCAAATTATTTTATGTTTATTGACCTATCTACCCCTTATATCTCTCCACGCCCCTTCCTCCTCCACACTTCTTCCACACCCTTATCTTCTTTTTCCACCCCACACCTTTTATCTTCTTCCACACCCTTATCTTCTGCAGCTTCTTCTCTTCGATTTCCCCCACACTTTCTTTTTCTTCCACTCGACACTTCATCTTCTTCTTTGACTCGACCTACTCCATAACCTCACTACTTCAACCTATCTTCTTCTTCGATTATTCCATCCCATCGATTTGCAGCAGCTTGAGTCAGATTTGAAGGATCTTGGGAAGTGCAGTGGTGACAGATGCAAATCTATGATGTACTCATAATACAATCTATAGATTTCCGTCAGATCTGAAACTAAATCCCTTCAAGTCGCAGAGCCGGGCATCGAAACTCAAAATCCTTCGTCTCGCATGTCCAAAGTCTATGGCGGACATGGCGCAAGTGGAGTCAGCCCTGTAGTGGCAGTTGATGGTGGGGCGGTAATTGATGGCGGTGTGGTATTGGGTATGGGAGAATGAGCGGCGGGGGCGTAAGGAAGTGGCAGAGTAAAGAGCAACAGCGGTGGCGTGCTCCGGTGGAGGAGTAAATTGGGGCGGCGATGGCGGAAGTATGGAAGGGGCGTCCTCCTGGGTAGATTAGTCGAGAGGGTGGGTGGAGGGCATTTTAGTAAAGTCAATAGTATTTTTAACTTATCTTAAAGTGCGTGCCCGGTCAAACCGGGAAGATTATTAATGGACGGAGGGAGTATAAAATAACTAAAAGATAAAACTAAAATAAAATATTAATCGAACTAACTTTAAAAGATTAATAGGAAAAGAAGGGAAATAGGATGAATGTGTTAGCTTAATTGAATGAGTTAGAAACTAATGTGGTCAAAAACATAATAAAATGAAGTTGAGAAATTACAGTTCTGACCTTGTGACATCTTAGTGACTTGGAAACTGGTTTGGGGTATCTTTTTGTTACAAACTTTGTAGTTGGTTACCTTTTCTTCCTCAATTTTCGTTAATCATTTGATATAATAATATAGTAATGTCATGACCAATCAAATTTACCTCCTCTCTCTCATTGATCTGTGATTAAAGTCTAATTCAACTTCTCTCATTGACCGTTCGGCCGGTTCTGAGGGGGTCCTCGGGCCTCGGGGATGGGGTTCATTCATCCTTTGTAGATTTTTTGATCTAGTTTTGAAATATGTAATTTTTATTTTTTAATTATACATCATTTTTTCTTATTGATGATTTGAAAGTAATTTTAGTCAAGCATAGTAAATCGAAACACGCAATTTGAATCGAGACGGAAAAACATAAATAAAGTTGAGGCTTTTTTTGTTAAAATCCAAAAAAGTTGGGGTTTTTTTTGTTAAAACACTAAAAGTTGGGTTATCTTCAATGCAAAAAAGCCGGTCCCTTGACTTACATCCAAACACATGATCTCTCATTTAGGAGAGTCATAGCGCTGCCATTTGACTACAAGTCTTTGGCACGGAGTAATTTGAGTATATATTCGGTCTCATATTCGATCAATTTACCATATAAGTGGGTGCCTCTCCCATGCTTATGAAATACGGAGTATAACTTTCGTCAAGAATATTTGTTCAACTTTGATTATTTGTTCAACTTTGATTATTTGTTCAACTTTAATTTTTTGTAATCAAGCAAAATCGAGCTTTGATTTATAATTAAATAAACATTATATGGTTTGAAAATATTTTATAAGATAAATTTAATAAAATTATTCTTGTATTAATGTCTAATCAAAATTTTATTTAATATATGTTCAAAATTTATTATTTTTGAATGTAAAGTGTTAAAATTAGACAAATATTTTGAAATCAAGGTAGTATTTTCTCTATTCTAATACTGCTTTGTATTAAAGTCTTGGTTTTCTTTTTTAAAACAAAAACTTCTCATTCATTAAAAATGACATTACAAAATTTGGCCAAATAATAGACCAGGGAGACCGGTCATTAGTCTCTACCCTAACCTCTTAGGGAGGAAGGGGCACATGCATAGGTAAGCTTCATGGCTTCCAAATCACAAAGCAAATTTACCCAACCAATGTGGGTAGGATGCCACAAGGCAAACCTTTACCATATAAATTTTGTATCAAAGTTTTAACATGATGAGTTATAATTAATTGTTTAATTTGTTTTAAATTTTAAAAAAAATAAAATAGTCTAAGGTACTTGTTGGTAGGTGTTGACAGTGATTTTATAATTTGTGAATACTTGAGGGTAGAAATGAAATGATATTGCAAGATTGGCCGGTGCATGGATAATACCCATGAGTGCCCCTCCCCCTCTTAGCTAGCTCATGAGCCATCACTTTATTGGCCTTCTCGTATTAAAGTCTTGTTCTGGTTTTACACAACAGAGAATAATAAGTCTTGTTTTCTCCTAATATTTTGTATGATTTACATTTATTCTTTACTTATTAATTTGCATATGTATCATTTGTTTCAAAGACAAGGGAGTAATAATTTTTTAGGAGAATAAACATACGCATTCAATAGCACACAGAAAGGAAACATACAAAGTATATGCGTGCGCAAATTTTTAGAGGGGAGATAATGAACATAAGTGTAGTAAAGTGTGCAAAACAATCCATTAAAATTAATGAACTTTTTCCTCAAAATGGAATGGCATAATAGAGATCCTTTTATGCGTGTAAACTAACAATCTGCCAAGGACGGAACTGAATTAGGTTCATGCATGGCAATCATATTGTTGGTCATTTCGGTCAGGACCGAATGACAACCGGGTATGGACCGGACTGGATTGAAACCCGAAATTCAAAAAATTCGATCGAACACTGACCTGAGATCTATTCGGTTTGGGTTTGGTCTGAAGCTATTGGTCTGATTTGGTCGATTTTTTCAGTTTGGACCGAAACATGAACAGTCCTATGTACAGTGCTACATTACCTCCACATTACCACAATGTAAACTCCTATTTTGAGAATCAAAACATAGAAGTCCTATTTTGATACTTTTTTTATGTTCTAATCTTATTTAGGACGATTTCTATAGTTTGTAAATCTATATACAAATATAGATAGTATTAACTATCTTAGATTAGTCACAATTTTAATCTATTTACAAAATTAATATTTTAAAAAACTTTCTTATAAAAAATTTTTAACTATATTTTCAAAGATCATTAGTATTTTTAATGTGACGTTAAATGCACCCCCATTATCTACTTAAAAAGTGCAGAATAAATTCTAGAATACACTTATATTTTGAGAAAATTAAATGATACTCCGTATGAAATTTAACTTTTTCATGGTCTTTCAAAAGCAATCCAATAGTTAACGTTCATTGTTTGTGAGTTTTGGGTCATCTGTAGGAATGAATGACCACCGTACCTAACTACTCCCTCAGCCTAAAACTTTCTTCCCAGAACACTATTCTAAATTCACGGGAATTTATATTTATTTGTATTTTTTCATGGCCTATATGATAAAATAAAATATTCTTGTCACCACTTGTTTTGTTGAACTTTTGATGTAGTTTTAAATATGTATGTTTTATTTTTTATTTCTATAGTAATATTTAAATAAAATAGATTGAAAAAACTTGGGATTTTTCTTCGTTTTGCGCAACGGGAAGAAAAATATAGGATGGAAGGAGTATATTTTTTAGATAACGGTTATTTGGTGAAAATAAATGAAAATGTGAATTTTTTAAAATAAAAGGTGGGATAATTAAAGGTAAATTCTACTTACTACTTTTTAAACATTTTAAATTTTGGGAAATTATATTTTTAAAAATACAACTGTGTATTATATGGAGAGATTTGTCACTATTTAAAAAATATATAGAGGTACACAAGTTTGGTAGTGCCAATTCGGGAAAAATAATAATAATGCATTTTGAAAAACAATCTCAAGTGTTGCTTAAGAAAAAATTGCACGCAAACCCCTATAGTAGTCTCGCCCCTAATATCTTAGATTCTAGATCCGCCAGTGTCTAAAACACAGTCTCTAGGGAAAAAGAGTAAAACAGGATCAGATTAAAACATTGAAAATATATTAAATTAGAAATTCCATATTTTTATTCCCGGAGTAGAAACTAAAACGCATTTACATTACCAAATGTGATCATGTAAATTACCAAAAAGTATAGTAATGTGCACGTGTAGAGCCTCATATTACTTCCACATTACCACAATGTGAATTCATATTTCACAAAAACTAAGGTTTTTTACCTTAGTTTTTTTAGTAATGTATTTTTTACCTTAAGTTTTTTATTAATGGAAGACAAAAAGAGATTAAGGCCAAATATAATTTACTTTAGTTTTTTTATTAATGTATTTTTTTTATTATTGTCGCTTTCTTTTTTTTAATTTAATGAATGTAATTTTTTGAAATTATTTTCGCTTCAATTTCTTTTAATTTAATGAATGTATTTTTTTAATTATTCTTGTTTCCACATAATTAAATAAAAAATAATTAAATTTTATGGTGGTCCCAAAGTGGTGAGATACAAAGTCTAGAGGGGGGGGGGGTGA